GCCCTTGAAAGCGCCTACGTTATCGTCAATACCTTTTTGTAGCTATAGTTAACAAAAACAGCTGATAGAGGCTATTTTTATTGTGACAATTTTATTTGACGTGTAAACAAAAATAACAGTATCAGTTAGTTTAGACTATACGTTTTCAAGAATAGTTAGCTTTAGTTTGGTTTATTAGTCATATCAGTGTTAAATGTTTTCAAGGTTAATTTCCAAAGAATGAAATGCGGAAGACCTCCGAAGCAAACATTTATACAGAATATGCAAGGGAGAGAAGCTATAATCTATCGTCAAGAAATACATTTTACCAATTCGTCTACAACCAACCCAGTTCCAACCAGCTCATACATCTCACCAAATGCTCAGAACCTCGACCAAATCGTGCAGCGAAAAATGAAAGTAGAGAAACAATTTTAGATATTGATGTCCTAGCAAATTAAGGAACAACAGGCCGATTATCTTGAGCAGGAACGTGTACGAATAGCTGCTCGACATTTGACATTGACCAAACACTGCTCTCAAAGACTGCTGACCAAAGACTTATGATATTCTCCGAGCAAAGCTCAGTCCCCAGGTACTAATAAGAGATCTTAGTTTCAATTTCTAAAAAAACTAAAAATCATAACTTTTACCTCATTTTGTTGTGTGGTAAGATTGTACCGTTATATTATAAAACCCATTAATTTATTATTGCCAGGCTAGAAATTAAGACCTTTAGAATCAAAATCCACAATTACAACAAAGCTATGCTCTGTTTTTTTAAGCTGATATTTAATGTAAAAGTGAAGACTTACGGAGGTAATCCCGCCATATCTTCCACTCGGTGTACGTGGCTTTCCTACTGTCCACAGACACAACAGAACCAGGTCTCAACTCTGTAGACAGCCATTCAGCGATAGACGGGACCTAAAATATATGAGTAAATAATTATGAAACACTTAAATTTTTTATTTAGTTTTAGTACAAGGCCAATATTGAAAGACCTTCTATAACAAATTGTTATGAAAAAGATTATTGTTGTTCTGTTTTAACATTCTCTTCACCGAGTCAATCATTAATTTATAATGCTATATAAATTGATTTTCTGGACCAGTATTTTTTTACACTTTTGTCCCTTTGAAAAATTAAACCTCAATGATCAAACTTAGATTTTATTCACCACTGAAACTTTATCATCTAGAAGCTATGACAAACTAATTGTGTATAACTAACTAAAAAACTTTAACTCTAATTTAATCCACCTGTAAAAAATTAAGACCAAAATATGTAGCCAACATTGGCACAATAACTACTACAGTAGACTTGAATAGAACTCTTATCCGAACTCCTCAGGACCGAGGCCAGTCCGTATGACGGATTTTCCGGTTAAACCGACGTCCCCAAGAACTCATTAAAACGGACTGTTTACTGTGATATTCGACTTAAATTTATGAGAGCATTGTATTTAGACACGTGATCATTGGTCTCAAATCTTTCCCACGAGAACAGTCGTTTCACTACTGCCCACTTCCGGCCGATCTAGTCCGGTTAAACCAATGTGCTGATAAAAATTGTCCGGTTAAAGAGATGTCATTTCCGCCGAGTGTAGTCCGGTTAAACCGATGTCCGGTTAAAAGGTGTCCGTATAAGAGGGAGTCTACTGTATAATATATATTAAGTAAAATTTTACATTTGATGTTTTCATTAATGTTACTATTGCTCCTTTTCTTCAAATGTAATTTATACTGTATTTTGGTAAGGACTTATATTAAAGTTTTATATAAAAAAATAAATCTAGTAAAATAATTTGCATTTTTTTAAATTAAGACTACTTGGTAGTTTTTGTTGGGTTACGAGCAGGTCTATTGGTAGAGCGCAGGTCCCTGAGGCTCTAGGTTTAAGTACCGCCAATCACCAATGGATTTTATCCAAATGAAATGTCACAACCCCCTAGGCCTTGGCTGAAGTAATGTGTTACGATTTCAGCCGTGTAAAACAAAACTATTAATACTAGAGCCTACGTTCTTGTATGTGAAGATGGGCAAAAAACTGCAGGCAACTTACATTCCGGTCCTCACTCCGCATCAACAGCCAGTTACAGTCCATCTCCTCGTCGGCCTGTAGGTAGTAGCGACTGTCCGTCCACAACGCGGCCCAGCTAAGCGTCACGACTGCATCACCATTGCTACCAGTGAAACCGGTTATAAACTCTCTCCGACGATCTGGGATGGCCACAAACTCACTCTGTCAACAAGTCTACAAGTTATGCATCATAGATTGAATGATTTATTTGTGATCAAAGTGGCATGTGGCAATAATTGTTAGAGTGTGAGACTTATATCTTGGTGGCTTTAGTCCGAATACAACCAAATGCAAATCGATCAGTAAAAACTTTAAAAGCTACAAAGAAAATATTGGCTGCAGTAAGAAAATTTTACTTTAAAATAAATCGTCTGTGTATTTTATGTAGAGCAATGCAATGTCTGTGGGTAAAAGCATTTATTAAAAGCACAATAATCAAGGTCAGCTGGTTCCAGTTTTGAACAATCAGCTGACTTTTCTCAGTAATAAAACCAGCTACCTATTTTACTACTAGGCGAGCACTACAACCATTCGCTACCCAGCTATATCTAACGCTAAGAACTAAGAAGCCTTACTCACAAACAATCCTAAAAATATTGCACATCAGATAACCTTTAATAAGGTCTTAAAATGGCTTAGAAAACCTGCATATGGTTGCTATAGTTGCAAATAGTTTACGTTCCTAGTTTAAACTATGATCCGGCCTACAAAGGATTCAAAATAAATGCACTTGTGTCTTGTGTTTTTTTATATATATATATACTCTGTTGACGACCTTCAAAGCAAAACGTTTTGTTTCCTTGATGATGTAACCTAAGAATTGAAACTAGTTGCCGCTGGGACCAAGGATTACTTTATGCAGGACTTCTCAACTATTTGAAGTATAACCACTGAGTTTACACGCAAGGTAATATGAAAACTATAGGTAGGTAATATTCTTTGGCTTAAGAAATCTAATTAAATTGTTTTCATTTTATTTTATATTGATTATAATAGCAACTGCATAGTTGTGTTTCAAAAACATTTACATGCCAATTTTTGGAGAACAGACTAAACAGTGATTTTAATTTACCTGGTGATCGTCAGAGTTGGGTATGATATAAGCGGAGATGTTTTTTGACGACATCAGCTCTCGTAGTTTCTGTAGCTTCTCGCTACTCGACACCCGGTTTGGCGGTTTCATCTGTAGGTTGGTAACACAACTGGTTCTCTCAGACAACGTGACCCCGACAAACCTCCCGTCTGTCAAGTAACGTCTTTCCTCTCTCCAGTCATCGTACAGTTGAGGCACATAACAGCGGACTTGGTGAACTAAGAGCCATAATGTAGTGAGTTGTGATGTGTATACTAGTAACGTGGTTTACTAAATGGTAGTTTTAATGGAAACCTGCTACCAGTAATTAGTAATAACCTTGAAATTGGCCTTGTTGACACATTCTTTGAAATGGAATGTTTGGCTTTTTGTTATTTATGGTACCAGTAATGGAGTATTCAGCATCAAGATGTTCTATTATAAACCTGTAGAAACACCTCAGTTGCAATTCAGTTAAGTTTATAAATCGACTAGACCCATGGACATTTGCTAGTTAATTCTATACAGTTCAGTTTGGAATGTGATCAAACCCAAGTTTCTGTAATAAAAATAAATACGGTAGTGTGTAAAAGAGCAAGTCAAGGGTTAAGAAAGTAATTCGTCATTTTTGAGCTTCCTGTGTGGTTTAGGTAGCTAATTCTGGCTCGATTATCTTGTAAATTGCTTAACATGTTTTGGAAATTGTAAACTTTATCTTAATTATTTTTTACTCTTACTTTATAATCCAAAAACGAAACAATAACATTTATAGCACATAAAATGTACACTATTCTATACTCGTACAAACACCACGTGGGTTATTCTTGCAAAGACGTGCCCTGTTTTGTTCGTACCCACCCTTGTTCTAACCTATTGCTTCGGGTTTCATTTTGTTTTCGGCTTGTTGTTTTGACTACTATAAAATTTTCTATGTGGTTATTCTATGTAATTTTCCAGATTTAGCTAGGTTTCTTTAATCTTGTTATGTTTTCACCTGAGGACGGGGTCAGATTCCAGATCCCAAAACGTTCCCTCAAACAACAACCCCTGGGTTTGTTGCTGTTTAAAAATGTAGGCCTAAACAAAGCAATGTTTTTAAATATTCACACATTCATCATGACATTTTCATTTTACACATATAATTCTCTGTAAATTTCCGCTTGTTAGGTTAAAAAGACCTTTGCATTTGAGTCCTTCTCGATTATCATAGAACTTTTCAAACTCAAGAAATGTCATGTGATACATAAACTGGACGGTACTGAGTTTGAATTAGTTGATTGCCTTTTGGTTACAATCATAAATCTATTTTTTTACATTCTTGCTGAAGTACTTGCATTGTAAATGGGTTTGGAAGATTTAACTTTTAATAAGCGAGACTAAAAGTCTCAATAGGGTATATAGGTAAAAGTTTAATCATTCTAAAGAGTGCTCTAAAGAATGTGACGACATTCTAAACTTGTTCAAACCCTAACATAGATATTTATCTTGAAAAGTATTTCCTAACCTGGTATATAGCTTTTAACACACTCTTCTACTTAGATTTTTTACTTTAGGCCTAAATAAAAAAATATATTTATTTTTCAGTTTTTTATGCAAAAAATTGACTGAAGATTTTATATAGTGAAACTACCTTAAATAATGTTGACTTACCTAGACAAATGGCAAAACACAAATATGTCCAGTCCATAGCTTTGAATGGACTGTTGCCAGGATTAACCTCCAAATCTGTTTACAAATTCAGAGATCGTTGACTTGTCATTAGTGGAAATACAACTGATAGGAGCAGCCTGGAAGTGACACCTCGTAAACAATGGATCACGGATAGGAAAATTTTGAAGGATTAAGGGGTAAAGATAATCAAAACGGATACGTAACAATGCATATATTTGCTCTGTAGAAAAATAGTTTGTAACGATTGTGGACAATAATAGCTTTTAACAATGAATTTAGTACATAAAAGTCAAAGGTCAGCTTAAATTAGACATTACAACATGTGTTTTTAAAGTAGAAATTATCAATTAAAAATTACTTCACTCAGCTTACAGCCTCAGGACAGCATTTTCATTAACATTTATTTTAGTTTAATCCAATTATTTACTTTTTCCAACATACTAAATCGTACAAAATAGCCTTAAACCAATTTGAACATTCAGTCTGTGATTACTATACAAAACATTTAAAATATCACAATCTTTTGTGTTTCACGACAGGCATACAGTACTTAACATTAGATTGTTTACTTCACTCTTTAAAATATAATCATGACACATTGAGTACAAAGATATAAAATTGAGGCGTTAACTCATTTTTATGTTTTTTTAACAATGCAATTATTAAACATTCAAATTTAAAAAATGTACAAAACCCTAATCGGTGTTTCAAATAGGTGCACTGGATCATGATTTAATATTTTAACTCATTACTGAATATGTCTTATTACTTCAAGTAAATATTCTGATCCGTTGAAACCTTTAACACACACATCAACTACACTATCAATCAAAGCACAGCTTTGGTCGATAAATTCAATTGTACTCCTGTGAACTACCTGATGCAAAACATGTCATTGGTAGAATATTCGCCAGTCATTTGTGCCAAGACTTTCTGTTCGAAAATTTTAAGAGCAACATACTTTAGATAAACCTTAGACCATGCGAACAAACTTACGTATATAAGACAAAAGTACGATACATTGATTAATTCAGATCAGTCTTTCATTGGTAGATGTTTGTCTAGCGTTTACTTCTTCTCGTACTTGTAGTAGCCTTCACCAGATTTGACTCCCAGTTTGCCCTGCTTGACCAGTTCTTGCATCGACTTGAGAGGCTCGAACAAAGGGTTGTCAGGGAACTTCTCATACCATCCTGCAAGAAGAGAATGCCACAAATCAATCATACGCAAATTCTTTTATCGATTTAAGACCTAACCACACAAAAAACCATTTTTCTTTGTCTTTTTATTCATGCGGTCAAATCAAATACGGTTGTTTTCATCTGTTTGTTTCCAGGCGTACCCGGTTTGTTTACTAATCTCATTTTATAGGTTTCTTTCCCGCAAAGACAGAGTCAGATTTCAGATCCCAAATAGTAATGAAAGTTGATTTAATCATTGATAGAAATTGTCTGCAAATATCTTTCAAACAAAATAAACTTACCACCACTGAAAACGAACTTGAAACAATTAATCTAACAGTTATAAAAAAACATTTGGTCACAACTAGGAATAATTGACCAAATGAAAGATGCTATGCAGTACAAAAAATTACTTATTCAGTTTACAGCGAATTCATATTATAAACAATTAGTGATGGACGAGACTAGATTTTTCACTTCAGACGAGACAAGATTTTTTTAATTCCTGCGGGACGGGATTTTTTTTTTTTTGGGACTAGATTTAATGAAAAGTTATAAAAAACATTAATATCTACTTTTTAAGTTCAAAAATATTTACAAGTTTTAAAAACTTGACAATAAATAGACAAAAATATTTAAAATCTTTTATTAAAAAACATTACTAAAAAAATCTGTATATAAAAAAAACTTATAAGGCCTAACTTATTAAAAATAACTCTTCGGCATAGGAAACATGGAGATATCAGTTAGTATATAGTTCAACTTTGAAAAAAAAAAACAACAGTATTACTAGTTAAGTATCAAGTCACAATTGTTAAGTCTTGTGTTATTTTTTAAATGATTTTGGAGTGACTTGTTTTGGCTATGTTTACAGTAGTAAAACATGTCTCACACTGCTTAAACTAACAAAACTTCTCATCTGCTATGTCAAAATAAATAATAAAACGATTGAAGCAATATTTTTCCATGTAAAGAATAAATAACTAGATTAATATAAACGCCTTCAGTTTTTTTTTAATTTTAAATATTTTTAAATTTTAAATTAAAAGTTTTCAATTTACGTTTTGCAAAAATACTTCACATTTTTTATTTTAAAATTTAAATTTTTTTAAATTAAATTTTTTAAAATTTTAAATTAGAAGTTTGCAATTTACGTTTTGCAAAAACATTTTGCAGTGTTTTTTTTTTTTAATAAATTTTTTTTTAAATCTTGTCTTGAAAATATATTCCGTTAGTATTTCAATCCCGCCCAAAGCTTCGAGATAAAAGGTCCCGCCCAAAGGTCTTGTCCATCACTATAAACATTAACCATAAACAATTTCATATTTTTCACCCCTTACACAAACTTGTTTCTTTTCATGCGGTAAATGTTCTTTAAACACAGTAAAATACATTTGCTAATTAAGATACAGTCAACTTTATAGAGTGTGTTGTATATGAAATGCAGACCTGTAAGGATGGAGTTGGTGGTGTCATGGCCGACATAATCTGCTAGCTCGAAAGGTCCCATAGGATGACCTGCACCAAGCTTCATGGCAATGTCTATGTCTTTGGCTGAAGCATCACCTGCAGAAAACACCTTGTCAATTTTGGATTACAGGACAATAAAAAAAGGTTAAGCATTATAAACAAGGCCTTGTAGCGCCAAGGGTAACTTGGAAATACACCAATAGGAAAAATGCCTACAAGCAGTAAAATTTAAATGCGACTTTAGATCACTTACAACTAGTTTGTTATTAAAAAGAAAAATCAGCACGATTGAAAACTGCATCACATATTGGGCACAGTAAAGGAAAATGCCTATAATAAAATTACGTAACTTTTTAAAATCAGAACATCAGGATTAGAAATACGGCCTTGTAATGTTGTGAAATAAAATAAAATTTAATGTTTACTCGTCACACGAAGTTTACACGATTGTGATACATCACATGTAAACATATGACACAACTCAGTTTAGTTCTTATACAACTAAATACATTATATTATACATTTATGTTCTGAGGACTCAGAGATTCTCAGCTAATCTTTTTATAGAATTAATTGTAAAAATTAAAAAAAATGTTATTCCTTTGTTTGATTTGCACTGTTTCTTTTTCAATTAACTTATGTTGTTTTCACAATTTTATAAAGTTTTTAGTCATAACATAGCCTAATAGGCCTGTTTTACTAGTTTTAATTACAATTACAGGCTGGGTTAACTACAATTATTTGCAAAAAAATATGTTCAAGCAACAACATTTATCTACATCCAAATGTCTAACCAAACAAATATTTTGAATAAGAACAATTTGAGTAAGAAAATAAACACAAAATAAACGGTAAACACCTCTGTTTGAGAAATGTGCCTTTTGGTTGTATATTGAAAGCATGAGTAAAATGAGTCTAAGATAAAACTTTCCATAAACTAAAACAAATATGTAAAAAGTTATTTAGAAAGCGAACTTCATAAAATAAATAAAAATTCAGCTTTCATTAGTGCAAACACTAATATTTCTAGTGGAACACAAAGTTAACAATGCAATGACACATCATGTCCCACAATTTACTGACAAAGACGTCATTTAGTCGAATTCAGCATTTTCTGGAATTGAAGTTGATGACTCAGATTGTATGAGTAATTGCTTTGTTTACTCACTTGACCCCAGTTTCAGTCTGGCCAGTCAGTGCTGCAATGTTGGTACTACTACTACTTCTGTTTCTCTGTCCTTTATCAAGGTCACAACAATGCGATCAACACCTGATCAACAATGTTGCAGACTTTTTAATGCAACAGCTGATCTCCAAGTACCCGGACAATATTAGGCTCACCAACATATCTTCCTCGTTTCTTTACGATCATGGAAAAGTGGAGGCAAACTTCGGCAACTTGGCTAGACTGAACAGCATCAGGAGAAGGGGCGATGTAAATCTCCAGGTGTTCAATAATAGTGTTAACATTGTTTTAGAGGTGAGTAAAATTGTTTTTATGACAAAGTTAAAGTACTACTACGAAATATTATTTTTTGTCAAGTCCTAGCTCGAAGTTTTATCAGACTTTTCTTAAACTGGACCTTGAGGGAAGTAATATTTACTGTTGTATTTCATCAATCTACTGCCTGAAATGACATCTTCAACATATTAGAACGTAATACCAGTTTTATGTTTTGTGATCTTTTTGTAGTGTATTTATCAGTTTCTAGACTCTAATTTTCTCAGGTAACTGGTGGTAAGCTATCTTAAGTCTATCCCTCATGACTATCAACACTCAAAACTATCAACACAAATCCTACCCAGCCACTCTGCTTTCCTTTATATACAAAGCAGTAAATTGTAACTGATATTGGTTTGACTTATAGTGGCTGGTTTAAATTATCCTCAATAATTGGTATTACACCCGTTGACAAACCTTAGTAATTAAGGCCATGGTGAATAATAAATTATGAGTGTATAAATGCTAGGGGTGTGCAAATAGTGATTTTCAACCTCGAGCCGAGCCGAGCCGAGCTTTTTAAAAAATTTTCGAGCTCGAGCTTTTTCGAGCCGAGCTTTTCCTAGCGTCACCTTATCTAAGTTATTAAACTTTTTTTCTTAAAAAAGTGCATAATAATAATAATGTTCTGTCAATTTTTAAATAAACACAATGTTATTTTAATCTATCTATCTATATATTAATAGGCAAGCATGTTTCTTTAAAACCTTTTTTCTCAGCTCGTGTTCATCGTAGGGAAAATCTACGCATACCGTTAGAAAACTATTTTCCTGTAGGTGTGCAGAATCCCTTTATAAATTTAAATAGGCTCAAAGATAAGCACAAAAAATGAGTTAAAAAATTTGAAAATATTAACATGGATCTTATGCGTTGCCATGCTGGTAACGAAATAACAACGAAATATAAACAGAAAACCAAAACAAATGGGAGAAACTTAAATCACATGTTTTTTTTACAGTGTGGGGTGAAAATAAATAAGTGAGTACATTACGTATTTTTGGTAGAGTTTCGACCACTGGACGACCTCTCGTACTTATTTAATACGCAAGCAGGTTTTTTGTGACAATTACTCCTCCGAAACTACTGAACCGATTGACATGTTTTTGGTGTCATTGGAAAGAGGGTAACGTGAAGTTGTGCAGGAAACTTTCTTTTTAGAGAAATAATGAGAGATTGAGGCTCTGGAGCCCTTTAAAGTTTCGTATTTCTCCATAAGGATAACATGGGAGATAATTTTTATTTACAGAAACATATGTTTGTTACTTGAAAATAGTCAAAGTCTACTACATAATAATTGCTGTGTATTATGACTATAATGTATACCAACTACATTTCAATCAAGGATTGTGTACCTTAAAGTTTGACCATAATGGATCTTACTACTTTATTTTAATGCTGGGAATAGTAAAATTTAGTGGAGAATAAGTTACCATGATTTAGAAAACTTTATTATAAATCAAATCAGTTTATTTCCACAATATATACAAATTTACAATTTTTCAATAAAATAAAATAAAAATATATATAGCCCTGAAGCATTATACAGTAATTGTTAACGTAAATTAATTCTAGTAAAATTAATTTATAAGTTATAAAAGTAAAAACTTAAATACTAGTTGAGTGTTTGCTCCGGCTTGAATAATAACTAATTTAATATATAATGGAAATGAGTCTACATAGACCTCAGTGGTCTGTGCGTAGACTCGAGTTGCTAAAAATTATATATGTATTTTTTGAGCTAATTTGCAATTGAAGAAAAAGTTTAAATAAAAATGTACTAAGTGCTATGGGAACCTGTAAAAATAAAAATAAGTAGATTATATATAAAATTGGAGTAAATATTAATTAAAATTTTTAATAACAGAATTGTTTAAAGGGGAAGCCAATAAATAAAACGGAAAAGAATTTTGTTGGTTGCAAGAGTTTGCAGAGGGGGTCCGTTTAGTGCTGTCAGACAGTGGCAGGTCGCCTGTTATCAGTAGTGATAAGAGCCTCGGCCTCTTCATCGCTGATATCCAATAACCATCTATTAACTCGATTTTTGAATACACCTAATGTAGGAGAATGAAATAACTGAGTTGCTTTATACATAGTGGAATAATTCCGGAACAAAATATGTGCTATGTAGAAACAATTTGTTTTTGAAAAGGATTTGTGCTGCTGAATAGTAGAAATTCCAATTCTATTTGCATATCTTGTATTATGTGTGTGGGTTATGGAGGTAAAAATTGAATTGAAGTTTTTAAATATAAAAATTAGAAGATCTTTGATAAACAATTTTGCAATGGGGAATATTCCAGTTTCATGAAATAGTAAATCTGATAATAATAATAATATAATAATATTTATGTACTGTATTTAAATCACAAATCTTTGACATTATTAATTCATTTGAAACTTAACAGCTGATCGACAAATCAAACAAATCATCTACTTCATGTGAATAATGTTACTACACAAACATAGTTTTTTTTAAACCAATATCTTGATTCTTTTTTACTTGTGGGTGTATTTTGAGTTTGCAGTTATGAAAGCACCAAGCAACTTATCTATATTAAGTTAGTAACTTATATCAATTTTTCTTTATAAACTAACAGTATTAATGAATTACTACATGAACTTTACAAGTCAGGTAATTAATTGTCAGTATACCAAGGGGAAGAAGAGTGGGTCCTTGAAAACAGACGAAGGTGGAGACACCCATCTAGAAAATCCAACTGAGTTTTTAAATATAGAGGTCAGTGGATTGCCAAGACACAGATTAGACTAATAAAAGGGGACAGTGGTTTTTTTGATGAGGAATATTAATACTGTACATCAAAAAAGGCCTTATTAATGGCACAAGGCTTCATGTGATCAGAATGGTTAACAACTTAATAGAATGTAAAGTCTTAACTGGAACAAGTGAGTGGGGACGTAAACAAACATACCTTTTAAAACGGAAAGATGCTAATTTCTGTAACCTTTGGCATTTGCAGCGCTGTTCTTACCCAGACCAATTTCAGTCATGAGCATCTATATTAGCCTATATGTTGTTTTAAGTAAGGATCCATCTTTTAATACGATACGCATATTCGTTACGGAAAACTCTGACCAGGGTAATCTTCCTGAAGGTAACTTTAAGGCTAAAATCGTAGTATTCATGGAAGTGCTTTTGTGATAAAATATTGTTTTTTAGTGTTTATTTTTAAAAGTTTGTTTTTTTCAAGCAGCATTTTTATGACCCTCAAAATATGCTACATAGGCCTATTGGTTAATGGTTTGATATGATAAAATATTTTGTTAAATGTGTTTTAAAACTCTTTCAAATAACTAACCTATAACCTTGCTCGCTGCCTATAACATACTTGAACTTGAACACTTATTAATTTACTAAATATACAGCTAGAAAATGGCTGTGCTGCTGCCCTTACAAGGCTTCATTATTACTGTATAATTTTCGTCGTCGAGTCAATATAATACGATGAATTTGTTTTCTAAATTCATATGTTATTTTGCGGGGCATTGAGCCGCACAGGTTCACTAGTATGTTTAAAAACATTGAGAATTGTCAAGACATCAAATAGTAGATAATCACGATAAGAACTGAACTGAACTAAATTAAGATGCAAGAAATAAAAGGATATCGATTGAAGGCCTGACGAGATATGCAGTGCAGACTGAGACAATCAGATTGTCTTTCATAACAGTAACGTTCTGTTATTTAATGGCAAATAAATATTCTTGATTCTTCTTGATTCTTGAACAGAACAGCAACGCGACATTGAATGACGAAGCAGCCCAATGTCAAGTCGCTTGTGACATAGTTTGTTTACAAGCTTTCTCCAGACCGGTTGTGTCCTGATTGCGAACAGTCCAGATTGCGAACAAGGGTAAAATCGTCCAGACTGCGAACACCTCAAAAATGCTGTGGACTACCTGAACATGAGTCGTCCAGACTGCGAACAAATATTTTGGAATCTGTAAAGATGGTTTAGTAGCTGTTGTTGAACGTGAGTTTTAATTGCTTGTTGAGTTGGGAATGTGATTGAATGATTGATGTTGTAATGTGTAATGCATATAGGCTACATGTTATTTAGGATGTAAGATGTATGTAAGGATGGTATTTATTTTAGTTGCTATTTAAATTGCTCGTTGACGATGTTTTTTTAGGTAATGATTGAGTTTGGAATGTGATATTGGCAAATGCATGATATTTCGGCTAATTATGTTAAACTATAGTTAGTTTCTCCTATATTAATATGTGAGGCTATTTTTGTGAACAAAACTCCTATTTCTGGACCGATTTTAACGTTTGAGGTGTCAAATAATTCTTCTCAAGTTGTAGTATTGCATAAAGGTTTTAGAACTTAAAAAACTCTTACCCTTAAGGGCACGAGACGCTATCAAAGGTCGCATCTTCCCCATAAGAATTACATTGAAAACAAATTTAAAACAAAAACAACTATATATAAAAAAAACTCACCAACTTTTTGGGAGTAAATATTGATGTTTGTAATATTTATGAGGTAATAGACAAATCTAAACTGTCAATCAGTTTTGTTGGAAGAACAGACAATTTCTTGAGTTTAAAGGAGAAATGTTGAAAACAGGAGGAGGAGACAATTAATAGGAAATCTTATACGAATAAGAAGAGTAGAGGAGAGGCCTCGTCTCACAGTAAGGAATCCAGGTACACACTCACTTGGGAAGATGAATCATTTTTGTCAGTTATGCTAAGCAACTTAAAAACATGAAGAATATACAACAGATGCTGTCACAGTGATAAAGTAAACCTACCTAAAGTCCGATCAAATAAATACATTCAAGAAATGTTTACTGGTTAAAAGCTTCAAGTCGGGAAACATTTGTAGAAAACACTAAAAAATAAGGCCGGGTCCAAAAAATACTAAAATACAAGAAGCGTTTATTATTTCAAAGAGCTATTTAATAGCGTGAGTATGAAAATTAGTCACATAAGCATTTAGTCGGGTCTTTTAAACTCATCGAAAATTATTACTGTTATTACTGTAGTTTTAAAATAACTTCTGTACCTATAATACCGGCACTTGATAGTTGCTTGATTTCGAGCAACAGGTACCCTAGTTCATATGAAATGATTGTTTCATTTCTTTTACTCTGAGATTGTTTAGTAGTTGCTTGTTCAAGTCAAACATATTATAATTAATTTTAAATAAACAGCCACTTTAAATACCTATTATCAGAACGAATTTGTGAGTCTGGAAGAATCTGCCTGTTAATAAGGGGCTTTACCTATAATTATACTACGTCTCATAAAGATATGTGTCTTCAAGAACATTCATCCTTTCCATTATGTATATTACCAGTCTTAAGTTGTGATTTAGGCTAAATCATTTAGTTAAGGGTTTCTATGAAAGGGTTGAAAACCCCAACCACTCAAATTGTGTTCGCAATCAGGAATCCTCCCCACCCCACGGACGACCCCCTCCACCTCGTAGACCCAAACATGTTCGCAGTCTGGACTGTTCGCAATCAGGAGGACACCCTCCAGACCACGGGGGAGGGGAGGGTCTGATAAGCCGTCTATTGTTCACCCCCAAGAAGGTCCGACCCTCATTAGTGCCGCTCGGCTGCACTCAGTGGGGAATCCAATACCACAAATCAATCTTTTAAATGAATACAAATGTTTGGTAATAACTGTTTTATTAATATTCACCTTGAAATTTCAATAAATTTGGTGTAAAATTTGACAAAAATCGGCCATTTTGACCGATTATTAATACAGTACCAAATACCAATAAAGTAGTACATTCATTGGTAATTAAATAATAGGTAAAAATTAACCGATTTTCGTCAAGTTTTACCCCCCTGCTGTGCGCTATGTCACAAAAGCTGATAACGACATTCGTGATTAGTAACCATGGCAACTTGTTGAATGCGTGATGAAGGGAAACCCAAGAAATAGAAGAACAAAGAGAAAGAATAATGTGTTATCTTTATACCTTTTTTACAATCTCCGTTATTGTTATCTTTATGTAAGATTTTATGATTTTGTTTTATAGGTTTACAAAATAATTCTTTTTAACTACGGGAATATCAATTTATAATTTATCAACGTGCTTCTCTTCCGAAACAGCAATACCGGATGCATAATAAAGGTCGATGACCTAAAATATCACGATTGTGCAATATTGTATTTTGATGTTGAAATTAAAATCACGACAAAAGTTTGTATATATCCATGGTCCCTATAGTTTAATCATTTAATATGTACACAATCAATGCTAAATAATCGTGGTTAGTTCTAACTTTATTTTTTATTATTCAAAGTTTCTACACAGTAAGACAATCCAAAGTCAAACCGGGCAATGAATACCTAAAACACAACGTATCTTGTCCTGTGATTGGAATACCACTCGCCGGCCAGTCCTTTAGGTTTAGGGAAGTAGTGGAAGTCTTAGTCTATATATAGCTTCAAGGTCTTACCCACCCCTTCCCCCTCCGGTCCTACTTGACTCACTATACCCGCGCTCCTTTCGAGGTCATTGCCCAACCCCTCCCACCCTTCTATTGTGTTGCCTTTCTATTGTTTCTATTCTCACTTTTTTTTTGGAAACATTAAATCTATTGTTTACGTAACTTCACAGTAGTAGGCTAGATTTTTCTACTTTGAATTTGAAACAGTACTGTAAAAAAAACTATTACGCAGCGCCCCTAGTATCAAGAGGGAGACAAGCACGAGTTGACTTTCATTTGACCATGGTAGTTCTTTTCTGCTTTATGTCCGTTCGTTCCAGACGAATCTAATCGTAAAGCAAAACAGCCGATAAGGACTAAACTAGTTATCAGTATTGCATCATACAGCTTCTTTGCCGTTTGCTGTTAGGTCGTTGGAAACGTATTGCTGTAATTTTGTCCTGGGAAACTAATGGTGGCTATGGAGATTTAATTTTCTGTCCAAAACGTCAAAATATATTGTCTATCCGAAAAAGCCGGATATATAACGGATAGTGTCGGATATTGAATTTGGGCCCGGTTACCCGATTTTTCAGATATCCGTACACCCCTACTTTTAAACAAAATAAAATAGGTACAAAATTGTGTGACCAGTCAAACTTTATAAACAAACATTTTATTCTATAAAATATAGATGGTAAATAGGGGTTGGTAGGGAATAAAATACAAAACAGATTAATTAATTATTTTGATAAACATTAGAAAGGTTATGGGTTTGATTGAACTAAAATAACCGCAGGGAATCTTATAAGTAGAAAAGTCGTCAACCACAATCTGTTTAATCAGTACACTGTTAGAGAGAGAGAGAGAGAAAGAGAGATAGCAGATAGGGGCGTTTGATAAGGAATCTGAAAAAGTAAACAAACAAGGAACAACGGCATGACGATACTCGTTTACAGCCTTATTGTGTCGCCCACTACATTTGCACACGTGACCACTTTTTGTTTCTTCCTTATCTTTCATCGGTCCCAAAATAGAATTCCTGAAATAGTTTGTTGGTATAATCTCCCCTCCCACACAAGGCGCAGTGCTCAGTGCGCACTGTAGGTTGTCACGGCAACCATGTGTCGTCATAGCGACGAGCCAATCACGCACTCGCACTGCGTTGTATATTACGATACGAATAGCTGTGTTAGATAAAGTGTTTTTTTAGTTTTGACTTAGTATTAAAAGCTCGGCTCGAACTTCGAGCTTTTTCAAAATGCCTCGAGCCGAGCCGAATAATGAAAAGCTCGACCAAAAAGCTCGAAGATTCGAGTACTCGCACACCCCTAATAAATGCTATTAAATGTTATGGGAGCTTTGGTTCTGGTCTGACTAAAACCAATTGAAAATTAAAAAAGGATTAGCAATATCAGTAGAATGATAAGAAAAATATTCCTTTCCTTAGAATGAGCTGTATAAAACTGTTGATGGTATGGAATGAAATACTTTGTGTGAATTGAATCATGAATTCATCCAGTATATTATCAATGAGAGTTATGATCATTTGAAAAAATGAAAATTTGTTACAATAAATAAATCAAACATATACCTATTGTACATGTTTTTAAGTTTGTTGTATATTCTAGAGGGCTTTATTGGAGAGCTTTGTAACTTCATTTAACATTGATTTGATATGAGCATGGTCATAACAATTGAAGAAAGGGGCGCTGATCTGAATAAACAGTAAATAAATAGTTCTGGTAAAATTTAGTTTAGCCAATGGATATTTCAACTCACAATGCTACTGATGCTTGTTTGCTATGTTGGAGGGGAGCGAGCTAGTCTAGTGATAGAGCGCAGGGCTTTGATCTTTGAGGTCCCAGGTTGGGAGGATCCAGCCAATCAACAATAGATGTTATCTAAGTGATAATGCCACGACCCTCTAGGACTAGTCTTGAAGTAATGTGAAAGCAGTTCCGGACTAAAGCCTAGCGTCCTGGGATTGTGATGGTGGAAAAACTAAGCTTTCAAGTCTTTAGCTCTAGTCATCACTGCCCAACTTTACTAAATCATAAGTTCAACATGTATCCGAAGGTATTGATTGTTGCAGATAAGTTTCCTATACTTGACAGTCAGTTATGAGCAATACAAGGTCAAGGTAGCGGGCCTCAGTACTTCAGGCAGCCTAGAAACTTCAGTTATGGATAACTTAATCCAGGCAAGTCGTTAACAACACACCTAAACTTGAAAACACAAGTAACCCTCAATAGTTGTCAACACAAAACTGACTTTAATATTTTAAGGGTAATATTTTCTGAACCTAAAAATGTGTGCAACTAAATTCTAAGCATACAAAATAATTCTTAAACCAACATTTAAATACTTAACACAGTTACAAAACATGAGAATACTTTAATTGAGTTAAATTCCAAAAATGGGTTTAACAGAGGAAACTGGAAGCCATAAGAAATTAAATTACAGGCCTGAATATTACGTATCAAAGGGAATTAGGATGAATATACAACCTATTCTTAGACTTGTCAAAAAAGTAAATTAAACAAATATTGTTGGCACCTTCAGGTTCCTTACTGCAAGATTTGCTAATAAAAGTTTGAATAAAAGTTGTTTTTTATTTAATCTTTTTAGTTATAAATAGACAGGCAATTTTGCAAAAATAACAACTATAAAAGTCAAGGATTACCCATGGACGTAAAAAATTACCATTTTATTTTTGTGTGCAAGTGAATGCCACAAATCCCTTGTTTCATCTGTGTTAAAGTTTTTGAGATTTTGTGCCAGGGAAACCCTCAGGAGAAAACTGCCAGTTGTAAATTTCTATAAATTCTTCTGTACTTGAGCAGCCTAGTAAGGTTTATTGTCGCAGGTTGACGTCACGATGGGAGACAAATCCCTATGTTTCATCAACATCAACAGTGTCAAGTTTCTGCGCATGGGAGACTTTGAAGTTAGACTGCGCTCAAGCTGCAAATTGTGCAGTTCTGTAACCAGCTCCGTGACTTCTTCTGCGCTTAACTACTTCAAGACTCGGATACGCAGCTTGGTCGAGGCCAAGGTCAACGAAACACTCTACAGAGTCATCAAACCTGATAATCCTGTCATTTGTAAAACCCTCCACACATTCTACAACGAATACGATTAAAACTTTAGGATTGGTTGCTTATGTTTTGTTATTTCCTTTTAAGGAAGCTATCTCTGAATGCAATTTTGTAGGGACAAAACCTAAATATAATTGACATTATAAGTGTAAAGTGATATGATAATCAACTGATGTACAGAGTTGTTTATAAGGATTTTTGTGAGGATAACAGGTTTCCTTGTATGGGAAAGAGTCCAATCTGGCGCAAGTGTTAGATTATAACCTCTCCTGATGTAGAGGTTGAAAATTGTGATAGGTTAGTCAGAAACTGTGATATAATAACCAAACATTTTATTCACAGAAAAATTGGCATATTTTTGTATTTGTCTACGCCATTGACATTTTTATACGTTTTGAAAGAGATCAGTCCATACCCTGGCCTTTTTACTATACTGTATAATGTTGACCTTTTGTTAGATAGCATCACTAATTGGTAGACCAATGACAAATGAGAGTCTGGGTCCAGTTCCGATCTTGCTTGGAATCAAACCAGCAACCATCATATTCAGGGCTTGTAACAGTTCTTGAGGTAAAAATAAATAAAAAAATAACCAAAAATTATAAAAAAATAACCAAAAAATAACCTCCAATAAACCCAAAATGTCGCTAAAAATTACAAAAACCGGCATTTTATTGGGATATTAAAAATATGTAGGCAATAAAAATGACATAGGATATTTTGAACTAGGTAAGTGATAATCTACTAAGGCAATAATAATAAAAAAATGAAAAAATAGAAAAAAATCCTCCCATTCTCCCCTTTCTTTTTTCGATTTTTTTCCTTTTAGCGAATTTCCCTATAGGGAAGTAGCTATTACCGTAGGTCTCATGGTAAGACTTAGGCCCGGGACCGATTTACTTTTTCATTTTAATGTCCCCAGAGGCCAAAAACACCATTCGTTCAAATTTTTATATATGTATATATATATATATATATATATAGGTATATATATATATATATAGATTTATATATATATATATGTGTCCGTGAACACGATAACTTGAGTAGTTTTTATCCGATTTTGATGAAATTTGGTTTGAAGGTGTAAGGCGGGATAAACTTGAATGAGTTCGCGATCCAGCATGATCGGACCATGGGAACAGGGTTTTATGGGGGGTTTTATGGGGTAAAAATTGGTTTTTCTCACTTCTTACCCTCAAAACACGAAATTTCCCAATTTTTCTCTAAACCTTCTTAAAGAGCTTAAAAAAACAAACAATTCAGTATATCAAAGTGTTTTTGTACGGTTATTGGTTACGGAGAAAACTAAAAAAATGGTAAATTTAAAATTCCCATGTTATTCTTATGGAGAATATTGTAAAATGTTGTAGTTTGCTTCTTTATGGATATATTTTGATAAAACTTGGCAAATTTATTTATTTTATAGTAAGCTATCAATATTTTACTAAAAACACACTACTTTATTAGTTTCCTTGTTGCAGCAAACCTAGGTACTCGTTTAACCCAATGTCATTTAAATAGATCAATTGAAAATCAATTCGGACAAATGGAAATTCGCTTAGACGGCAGGTTTGCTGCGGCGGGGGTATTTAAACATTTATTTAGACAAAAATACAAAAACAAATATGATTAAATCCTAATACTAACATTTTTTACTTATATAAATGTTAACGCCAAATTAAAAATATATATTGAATAAAACATCAAAGTCAAACATAACTCTTAATTATTAGGTTTATTATAGGTTCTTTACAAACTATTTCAAGATATACAAGCGAATTCACACTGCTTGAAATAGCAATAAATCAAAGTTAAGTGTTTAATGTATTTTGAAGTTTGAAAATGGACTAATGTCCGAAACATGTCACTTCTTTTTATAAAATATAATATACAGGGTGCTCAGTTGTATTTATTTACTTAAATATTTAATATATCAGCAGCCCTATTAAGTGAACACCTAAATTAATACAATAAATCATTATATACATTTGAACTTAATGTCGCAATCTTGTAAATCTCTTACTCTTTATACAGAGAACGAGAGAGTTACAAAATATTATAACACTTTGATATTGTTAAGTTGGTTAACCAGCCAGAAAATCTACTTAATTCATTCATTAATTGTTGAAACTGGCTAGTTTGACGCTAACTACAAATCTGTAATAAACTGATTGGAGCAGGAAATTTCCCCCTCAGTTCAGGTTGACAAGTATCATAAACCAAATAAAACAGGTATTAATTATTTAAAAAAATTGTTAATTTTAAATAGCATAACAATATGTACACATACAAATATGTATAAAGTCACAGGTACAGAATCAAATGTACAAAGACAAGAATATAAATCTATGTTCATTTTGGTTTATGTTTCTAATCCTACCCCTCTTCATTGGGGGCATTTCATGAGTTTTACGAGCTTCATCAAAATTGATCAATAAAACCCTAATTGCCCTAACAAATAAAAAAATAACCAAAATCCTCCAACAAATAAAAAAAATAACCAAAATCCTCCAAAAAATAAAAAAAATAACCAAATTTTAAAAAAATTACAAAAAATAACCAAGAGCCGAAAAAATAACAAAAATAACCTGTTACAAACCCTGCATATTTGAAGGCGGGCACCTTAAAACCACTTCATCATTGGAGGACTTATTGCTAATAGCCAGATCTACAATTCCGATTTAACTCCAAAGGTTAAGTTTTCTCACCTCTCTCCATCATACGGACAGCCTCAGCCATCAAAGGCACTAACAAACGATTGACAACAAAGCCAGGAGTGTCCTTGCACGTGATGGTCACTTTGCCGATGGCCTTCCCCCACTCCATCAACTTGGTGAACGTCTCGTCTGAAGTTTCAACTGTTCTGATCACCTGTCAAAATATAATGAAGTTGTCAACTTAACATGTGTAGAATTTCCTTCCTATTTAATTCACAATTTGGGTATATGATTTTGATGCTCAGAGCAGTTCCATGCCATGTTACCATCTAACACAACTTATTGTTGGAAATTATCACTGAACAAATTATCATCCCACTGACACTGCAACTAGGTTAAATAACATAGGCTACCTTCTCCCAATTGGTTTTGCAATCGTCAGAGTTAAAATAAAAGCACATAACAACTCTGCTACTGTTACAGACATGAATACAGATTTGTTGGAGACTCAAAAATTAAACAAAACGGGCTTATCTGTTGAAAAAGTAAAATTAAATTTATAAACATGACTGTACAATTATATAATAGTCACACAATAGCATCAACGTGGGGACATAGGCTTACTGAGTTTAGAATCAAATTTCAATGAATAATGAGGATTTAGGACCTTTTTCGTTATATGACTACCACTATGGGTTTTTGTTTTGAGGATAAATTATCTACAAATCCTGTTTTGGGTTAGGTTATTTTAGGTTGTGTTTAGAACTGAGGCATAACCTTAAACTTCAACTGTGTTTTGTTACATAGAATGTCTTAAAGAGTGGCAGTCGTTAACAGGAAAAGTCTGCCATTTTAAATATAAAACTTAATTGTACATTCAAAGGTGCCTACCTCCAGCAGTTTCATGACAGGTACGGGGTTGAAGAAGTGCAGCCCGGCAAACTTGTCCTTGCGTTTGGTCACAGAGCCGATCTCAGTTATAGACAGGGATGATGTGTTCGATGCGAATATTGCACTTTGAGGAGCGACCTACAAACAGCGTAATGTAAAAATTTATTTTAGGTATGACAAAATAGCAAAATTCTAATGAAGGGATCATAAAAATATCTTCTGTTATTGCTTAAATATGCTAAGGATTACTGCAAAACTAGTGATGTGTCAAAACCGAATCTCAAATCTCAAAACCAATCAAACTTTGGAAAAGTTTCTGTTTCGAGATTCAGAATTTACAGTTTTGACCATCACTACTGCAAGCTTTTTCATGTCACAATTTTGTTTATTTTCTCCTTGAGGTGCTCTGATTAGGTGGCAAGATGATTGGAGTTGAGATTCTTGGAGTTCTATTGTAGTAGGTTGGAATCTTAAATAGACATTAATGTGGGGAAAATGAGCAAATGTCGGTGCATTTAACAGTGTTTATCTATGCCAACTTACCGGGTCTATTTTAGAGAACAGTTCATGCTTGACAGCCATTTTCTCTACAATAGCCTCCAAAACCAGATCTGTCTGTTTGACAGACCCTGTGAGGTCAGTCGAGTAGTTGATTCTGCTTTTGGTTTCATTCAGGAAAGTCTCGCCATCAGCTGGCTTCTCCTAAACAAGTCATCTTCTTTAATAAATTTTTAAATTTATACATGATAGTTTCTTGACAGTACGATGGTTATTGAGAGCAATATATTACAATATTACATAACAATGTGACATTTTAAAATTACAATCGCGTAAACTCCATGTCACAAGGAGAGAAGCCCAGGCATCCAAAAAGTCGTTAAACTTAACGACTTAGTCGTTAATACTATGACATTTGTTCAAGAAAAATACTTATCTCAATTCAAGCTACATCTGTTCTTATTAAGTTTAGTCAGAGATTTATTCAATTACCAAAGAAATATTGGTTTTTGAATTCAAAAAAATATGTTTTAGGAGAACACACCACTAACTAGGTATTTCTACCGGTAACGTACAGAAAACACATTTTAACCACACATCGTTAAACCAAACCCCAAATTTGTCTGCCGTGGTTCAGGTAGTTGGCTCGGCTTAGCCTACAAAGTGTAATGGAGCAGACGACACGTATCTCATACCGCAATAAAGATAAAGTTCAGAAAACCATTGTCCATTATTTTAAGATATAGATTTTGCGAGACTGTAAGTAAGTAGCCTTTATATATTTATAAATGTCTACACACAATCTGCCACACTGAAAAATTATAGATTTTGTGTATGGAGTTAGAGATATTTGAACAGAAAAAAAGTTCCAACCATTGATTAACAAAAAAAGGTTATCTGAAGTGGCCTCGCCTCCTTTATTTTGGTTGGTCGAAGTTTTACTGTAATATATTTGGCTGTTAATGAGAACCCCTTAGGATATTACTTTTGAATTTTCCAAAAAAATTATTTTAAACACACCTTGTAAACTTTCTTTGCTACTCTCTTCAAGCTGTCCTCAATTCTCTTAGTAGCGTTTTGCAGAGCCGAATCGTTCACCTCGACCAATGTAACCTTATTGCCAGCCTGGGCTGCCACCTACGAGAGAAGCAGGAAACTTATTAGGGTAGTTTAAACGTTATAGTAAAGATGGTACTTAAAAATAACTTGTAATATAGACTGAAAGTAAAACAATAAATTATATTTTTTAATATCTCAATTTTGTACTGCCTTACATTTAAACTGTGTTTAGGCCTACCATTTCAACTCCAAAGATGATCAAAACATTTAACTATGCATATTTCAACTACCGTATGCTTGTCATCGAAAACATAAACTTAATGATTTTGACAAAACATATTTATACTGTCATAACCACTGTTTCTCTTGTTAGTTTATTTAACCAGCTTTTTGAGTCTGTAGTTAAAACTATTTATTTGTAGCTTACAACAAATCTTAAAAATTATGTATATATACCTAAATACCACCGTCGCAGCAAACCTGCCGACTAAGCGAATTTTCATTAGTCTGATTTGATTTTCAATAAAATATATTTAAATATCGTTAAGTTTAACAAGTAGGCCTACCTAGGTTTGCTGCTACACAAGGAAACTAATAAAGTAAGTTTTTTAGTAAAATATTAATAGCTTAGTATAAAATAAATAAATTAGCCAAGTTTGATCCATATATATCAATAAACAAGCAAACTACACCATTTTACAATATTCTCCATAAGAATAACATGGGAATTTTAAATAGGCCTATACAATTTTTTGAATTTTCTTTGTTAGGCCTACCAATAACCGTACAAAAATACCAATACCGGTATACTAAGTTTAAATTATTTGTTTTTTAAGCTCTTTAAAAAGGTCTAGAGAGAAATGGGGAATTTTGTGTTCTGAGGGTCAAAAATTAGAAAAACCATTTTTTACCGAATAAAATCACCCGTAAAACCCCGTTCCCATTGTCCGATCATGCTGGTTTGCGAACTCATTCAAGTTTAGCCTGCCTTACACCTTCAAACCAAATTGAATCAAAATCGGACAAAAAATATTCATGTTATCGCGTTCACGGATATATATAATATACATATGTAAAAATTTGAACGAATGATGTTTTTGGTCTCTGGGGACATTTAACATGAAAAAGTAAAACGGTCCCGGGCCTAGGTCTTACCATGCCACCTACTATAATAGGTTCCCTAGGGAAATTCGCTAAAAGATGCATATAAAATTTAATTCGTTGATTAACCAAATCCGATTTGTTTTAACAGGTTGCAAAAGCAAATTAACTGTCAAACTTGAACCTCCAAGTGAAATATAAAACTAGGGTTGCTTTCAGAGAGGTGAAAGCCAGTTGAGCGGAACAAACGTGATTTGAGATTAAATATCGATTTCGATGCGGTTCGATATATCGCTTATTAAATTCTGATTTCTAACATTGGCTGTTTCTAATCAGCTGGCAACACATATAGGTTCCCAAGAAAGTAGTCACGGGTCCGTATCCCTCCGCTCCTTGTTTATGCTCCGCGTATTGAGAAAGTAGTTCCGTATATTTTCTCGATTTGCAGTGAATTCCGCGCCTTAAAAAAATGTTTTAACGGTATTTTCTGGTTTATTAAGATCATAGGAATGGTTTAAAAACGTTTAAAAGAAAAGTCTAGAAGGTTCAGAAATACCTTATGGGTATCTTGTTTACATTTTTCTTGTAAACAAAAAACCTGTCATGGCTACTTTAGTCCCATAAGCCTAATGTTAAAAATTGGAAATTTTAAGTTCGTTTTAAATTGCATTAGCAATATCTAATTGAAATTTGTTTGTTTAAAAACCATCTCACTATTAGTCTAAGTAATTTTGTTAAGTTTTACTAAAATGCGTTCAGCCGTTATTGAGTGATGTTTCTCTATTTGTTGCATTGAAGTTGATCCCAAAGAGCTTCGCTCGCTCCGCTCAATTAAAAAAATTACAATCTGTCATACGTAAATTCCTATTTAGAGTATATAGGTATATAGCCTAGTATACAATTATTTATTGAATGAACAAATTATACAAGAATTTATCTATTAGAATTAGGCGTACTATAGCTATAATTTGAATAGTAAAAATAATACTACTTTGATAGCAGACTATATCAGCAAAAATAACAAAAAAAAAGTACATAAAACAACAAGCATGAAGACCATGCTGTCGTAAATTATTTTAATATGATACAGTTGTTTAATGAGATGAGCCTTAGGCTTAGAACTTATCTGCACATGAAAACATATGAATACTATAAAATAGTTGAACATAATTTTACACAATTCACTATGTTTGTGGAACAATAGATTTTTTAAACTAATTAAATACCTGAGCAATCCCCGAGCCCATTAACCCTCCTCCAATCACTGTCACGTGGTTTATTGAAGCCGAAACACTCGTTGACTTGGAAAATCCTCTCACAAACACGGAAAATGGAAGAGACATTTTAACAAATGATGAGTTTTAGAATCCGGCAATATCACTGAAACAAAATATAAAACACTCAAGTAATCAGAAGATAAGAAAGAGGTTCAATGTACAAAAGTTACATTGGTTACCGAGTGTACTTCCTGATAAGATTTTGTCAGCTGCTTGTTCTAATTATTTGTACTTCCTGTTTAGTATTGGAAACAAACAAAATTTCACACTTTATACTTTATATTTTATAAACTACAAATATTAGGCCTCTAACTAAAATTTCTGGCACTGAGCTTACAGTGATGAACAAAAATTCAAGAAATATATTACCAAAGTATTACTACATGCAGCACATACAATTTAACTACCGTAGGTTACTGTAAGTTATTCAAGAATATTTTATTTCAAACATTTTGAGTGTTTTAACCTTCAAAATGCCTAGCCTACTAGGATTGTTAAACAAAAAGTTATTTTACAATTGAATGGTACTTAATGGTAATGCCAAAACTACTGTATACCATCTTTACACTTTTATTTGTAAAATTAGAAGGTTCCTGTATATAACTTACTTTGTTATTTAATACAAGTTCTTACAATTCTTACAAGTCTCTTGAATATTTCGTGGTATTTAACTATTTCTCCTGCTCATAATTCATAAATGAGCCACGCCATTCCATCTGTTGACCGATATGGCTCATTCATGGAATAAGTTAATCAATAAAAAAACCAACAGTAACTTAGCCTATGTAGGCTACAGGGTGCCGGTAAGTAAACAGCCAAACTCCAGTAAATTACAAAAAGTATGGGTTAAAAATTAAAAGAAAATCTAGAATTAATTTTTTTCAAAATCCCTTTCTTAACCAGATACCTATCTGCCATTTTGTTCTTTAAGTTAGCAAATTACCCTGTAGGGAAGTAGCTACCGTAAGTGGCATGGTAAGTTAAGACCTAGACCTGGGACCTACATAATTTTTCAATGTCTCTAGAGGCCAAAAATACAATTCTTACAAATTGTTATACATAATATGTACACAATTTATTATATACACCGGTACGTCCGTGAACGTGATAGCTTGAAAAAAAATTTGTCTTGAAGGTGTAGGGCGGGATGAACTTGAATGAGTTTACAAACCAGCTTGATCGGACCATGGGAACGTGGTTTTATTGGGTAAAAAAGGATTTTTCTCAATTTTGACCGCAAAACATAAATTCCTCAATATGTTAACCATTTTAAAGTGATTAAAAAATAAATAATTTAGTATATTGAAGTGTTTTTTTATGGTTATGTCTATTGGTTACGGAAAACTTTCAAAAAATTGCCAAATTTAAAATTCCTAGGTAGGTATATTATTTTTATGGGATATCGAGTAAACCGTTGTAGTTTCCTTGTTTATGGATATATTTTGATCAAACTTGGCAAATTTATTTTTATTTAAAATAGGCTACTAAGCTAAATAGGCTATGCCTATTAATATTTCTCTAAACAACACACTATTACCCTCCCTGTATCAGTGAACCTAGGTAGGCCTACTTGTTAAACCTAATGTTGTTTCGATATATTTAATTGAAAATTCAATCAGACTAGCCTATTGGAAATTTGCTTTGTCTGTAGGTTTGCTGTGGTGGGGGTATTTTACATACTATCTTTGAACTGTTCCAGTAATGTTTATGAAAGTTGGGTATGAATTAGGCCTATTTTAATGTCACAGTTTCGTCAGTTAGTTTCTCCATCACTTGGAGGCGTAGGGGTTGGCGATCCCATTGCTCGGTGGCTAGCCATTGCAAACAGCCTCCCTACTCTTCAACTGAGCAGGGTCTGTCTGTTCACTCCAAGTTTTTCTTCTTCTTCCCAAGCATGAACCAACTGTCTTTCATATCTTTCTATCTCTGCTCGATTCTTCTTCCAACTTCTGCGCCCTCCTTTTCCCTCTTTTGTTATAGAACAAACCCAGGTGTTAGGTGGACCGTGCTGAGGGGAGGATGGCACCAGGCCTCTTTTGTAGGTATGGTGGTCCCGTTACCTGCAGGATACCAGGCGCCCTTCTGTAGTAAGCAGCCTTGCCTGGGCATGTAGGGGCTTTGTCCAGGTCGACTTCAGATCCCTGGCGAAAAACACATGGGAACGCGGGCTAGTACCGCAAGTCATGGAAAGGCAGGTAAAATGCCCTGACCTTTGAAGAACGACCCACCCAAAACCAGGAGAACCTGGGTGGAAAGGACGATCCTTGTAGAGTAGGGCAGAGCGGGGCAGGAACCCGCTGGTCACTTCTTAGAACAGGGCATGGAACTGTTAAAGAATGTTAACAGGTTTTCTAACTGACATTGAAAGCTCAGAGGTCATCTGGGAAAAAAAGAAAATCGTTCAGGAAAGTGACTGCCGATTCTATCAATCAGGGGAAGAAACACCCAGATATCCATTGGCTGAATGTGATGCGGTTGGGCAAAAGAGAGCCAAGAGCTTGGGATTGCACCAAGAAAGTTAAGTTAGCAGTTGGAGATTTTAAGCAGTTAGAACCCCACCTGACACTAAGCTTCAATATTATTCGTATCAGTATCAGTTCTTCCTTCACTTTATTTACAGTAGGACTACCTTAATGTTAAGTTACAGACAAGATTTTTTTTTTACATTATTTTATAAATTGTTCATTATCCATCTTGATGATCTTCACAAACAGTAACTTACCGGTACCTAACTTACTTAAAATATTAACACAATAAATAATTTAAATAGCCTAACAAAAACACTATTTATTTTAGTCTGAACAATCCCACAATAGGACGCCGGCAGAGCGACCGACGGTCCTGCGTCGGATGAGTGTAGGCCTAGCTTGTAGGCTAGGTCTTTATATTAATTATATTTTACCTAACGATGGTCTGTACATTTAACTTGCAAGTTAAGCTTTATGTAGGCCTAGGCCTAGACCCAATGTTTTCAGCAATAACAATTTCTAATACATAGTTCTCAGTGGAGGTTTGGTTACCGTTAGTTTGGGAGTTAGTTGGCCTTATAGGTACTATAACTTAAGAGTGAAATCATAGTTAGCAGATCGCCTGGGGTTTGATGAAATATGCCGTTGATAGAGGTAATACCATTCCTAGGCTTAAGTTGGGCCTGGTACAGTGTCTTAACTGGGCTCAGAGGCTATCTCATATTTACTAATCGAATCGATAGTTTCAATCGATAAGTAGCCCAATATTCCTTAATTTATAGCCTCTATTCATTGAATGGTGAGATTTGAACTCACCGGGCTTCTTGGACCAACCTCTAAAAGACTAGGCCTACTTTACTTTGTAAAAAAATAGACTAATAAAAACTTACCAATATCAAAGATAATATTGCAAAGTTAAGATTGTTGCCTATGTATCTCTTTTTACATCCACGTCCACCCCAATATCTTGAGCTATCGAAATTTAATCTACCGTACCTACACTTCTACAGAGACAGGTTAATTCATTAGGAAATGACAAGACGTGACGTGACGTAAGACGACGACGACAGAAACAGACATGATAAACAGGACTGGACTGGCACTGGAATGACTGGGACTGGAACGGGCTGGATCTGAACTGAACCAAAATAGGACGAGAAAGAGACTAGACCTAACTATTGCATTGATTAAATATTTTGTTACGTTAGTGGCATTTTTATTTAAGTCCAATTTAGATTTAAAACAAATCCATTAAAGTTTTGTGGATTAGTCGGGGATCGTAACCGTCTCTCCCGCACCGAAGTCCGAGACGCAATTTGTAACAGCAGTAAGGGCCATACTAACTGGGGGGATACTCTGTGGATTATATCGTTTTTTTTTATTGCTAAAAATATTGAAGACGACATTTTGTTACGGCCATAAACAATTTATTCCTAAATAAACTTTTTTTCAATAAAGGTTTATATGAAAGTAGCTTCCAGACTAGGGACGGGAAATGTTATTGGGCCTAGGGCGCCCAAATGATAGATCCGGCCCTGTTCCACCCCCATGTTACAGTTGTCACCAGTTTAAAAAAAAATTAAATAAACAAATGAAGTGAGCCACCAACAGATTGTGCTGATGTGAGGTAACTTACTCTGATTTCTGTAGATATGATGATTTAAAGATATACTTAACATCTTTTATGTCACATCAACTATCTCAGTAAAAAATAAATTAACACATACTTTCTCCCATTAGCTTGCTATTAACCCTAATATGATGGGCGGTAGAAAGTATAGTATTTTATGAGTAAAATCACAAAAATTGCAATAACTTAACTACATTTTTCACAGCAATGGGAGTACTTTAGGGTTTGCTGCTACGTGGGGATTAATAAAGGGGCAATAAAGCCTGTGTTTATTGAAATGTTAATAGTATAAAATAAACAATCTTGATCAAAATACATATCCCTAAACAAGCACAATACAACAGTTTATTTATTCTCCATAAAAATAGCAAGGGAATTTTAAATTAACAGTTTTTTTGTTTTCTGTAATCATTAAATGCTCTTGTTTTCTCTGTAATCGTTAGGCTCTTTTTTCTCTCTGTAACATACTATAAATTATATCTTTTTAAGCTCTAGAAGATAGTTTGGAAAGAAGTTAAAAATTTTATTTTTTGAGGGTCAAAAATGGGAAAAATCTATTTTACCACATAAAACGTCATTCTCATAGTCCGATAATGATGGTTCATGAACTCATCCAGATAAATGTAAATTACACGTTTGTACCGAATTACATTGAATTTTGGTGATTTTTACTTGATTCATCGTGCTAATATAATTTTGATTAGATGGTGTTTTTGATCTCTAGCAAAATCTAGAAATGAAAAAGTAAATCTGTCCCAGATCTAGATCTTGTCTTTTAACCGACAGTAATTTACTTAAACCCATATGCACTTGAAATGACTTTACATGTAATTAAAATTAGGAAAATTATTCATTATCACCATTAACGGTATTAAGTAGGTAAACAAACATCCTGAATAAGATTTAACTATAATATTTATTTAAAGCTTTGACACATTTAATAGAGTTGGGTCATTATGGAACAGATTACCCAAGTTACAAACAGGATTACAGCAAGGCAGCCATAAGAGTGCAGCACTTGTAGGGTTAGTGAACCTCCATAACCTAAGGAGGAACTTTGGCACCGATTCATCCACCAACACAGGGAGCTCCTCATGATATAGAACCAGAAAGGTAGGATGAGCTTAAATTTTAACAAACAATTTTGCTTAAAGATATAACTCTAAAATTTGTCATTCAAATTCGGCACGTAATTTAATTTTATATTAAAGAAAGGTATGATTTTCTGCAAACTCCTATAGCTTGTACAATATATTATTTTTTATAAAAAAATCCGTAATTCACGTATATTCCTAGCGCAAAGGAAAACTGCAAACTTACTAAAAAGTCTATTTTAAAACTTTAACATAGAATCATAACAAACAATAACATATTAGCTCAGATCTTTTAAATTAACTGGTTAATTTATTGAAAGATGTAGATTTTACCTATGATAAATCAACTAAATTTTAAATTATTAACGTTGAGGCACATAAGGCCTAAAATAATAAACAAGAGGGTATATAGGATTTGACCGATTGAATAACAGAGTGGTAGGAGTAGGAGTCTTCTTCTTTAGATCCACAGGAAATGTAAATATTAGTAAATATTCCCTTTGATATTGGGATATTAATTAATAACACTCTAAGGTCATTCTCTAACAGTAAAACACTAGTATTTAAGCCGTTCTTACAAATCCAGCAAAAGAATTGTGGTCTGATTGTTAATACATATAAATTAAAAGAAAACAAAAAGTATGCTGCACCCAATTTTTTTTTCATTTTAGCGAATTTCCCATATAGGGAATAAGCTATTACCGTAGTACTCATGGTAAGACCTGGACCCGGGACCGATTTAATTTTTCATTTTGAGGTCCCTAGAGGCCAAAAACACCATCCGTTCAATTCATATATATATAATTTAATAAATATATATATGTCCGTTAGCGCGATAACTCGAGCAAAAATTATCCGATTTTGATGAAATTTGGTACAAACGTGTAAACCTACGTTTATTTGAACGAGTTCACGATCCAGCATAATCTGACCATGGGAACGGGGGTTTATGGGGGGTTTTATGGGGAAAAACAGGGTTTTCCCATTTTGACTCTAAAAACAAAAAAATTGCAATTTCTTTTTTAGAGATTTTGCAAACCGTTTTGTAGAGCTTAAAAAAAGAAATAATTTAGTATATTTAAGCACTGTTGTATGCCTAACGGTCACGGAGAAAATTCAGAAATAGTGTAATATGTAAAATTCCCATGTTATTCTTATGGAGAAAATGAAAATTGTTGTAGTTTACTTGTTTATGGATATATATTGATAAAATTTGGCAAATTTATTAATTTCATCCTATAGATACTATTGACGTATGGTCAAAAAACACTTTTTACCTTCCCCGTAGCAGCAAACCTAAGCACTTGTTAAATCTAATGTTATTTAAATAGGGAATAAATACGTCTTATTTATGGAAATATTTTAGTAAAAATGTAATCAGACAAGTTGAAATTCGCTTAGTCTGCAGGTTTGCTGTGGCAGGGGTATTTGTTAATTAATAGCGATAGTAAAAAAAAAATAATATCCAACATAATAAAGACATTACTTAGCATGGTTAACACAAAGTAACATTTTTACTACTTCCAGATAAAATATAATGAAGAAGCGCAGGGTTGCTCCAACCACCTATTCAGCATCGAGATCCGCCAAGAAACAACCTGAAGAAAAGATTGAGAAGGAGCCTGTGGATGATGATGAGGAAACTGGCTTTTCTCATTGGCTCAAGACAGGGCAAGGTGTTGAGTTTATGAAGTACTTTGTCATTCTAAACTCTCTGGGGGTTTTCCTGACTTTGGGCTGGCCTTCCATCTCCAAGAGCTATCACATCTTGAGATCTTTATTTTTTGAGGAAGAGGACTACTAGGGTAAGTAATATTAAGTAGAAAACCTTTTAGGCACTAAGATGTGCATTGACATTATATATTTGGTGAAAAATGTTCTTTCTAACAAAATTGTTTTGAATACCTGACACAAATATTACCAGCATGGATGTTAAAACAGTTACATTAAAACGATTAAAAGACAGTGACTATGTTATCCTACTGATGAAGCGATTATGACATAATTACTGTATATGCCAAAAAGTCTTCCTTACAACTCTTACAAGTTTAAAACTAGTTGTGGCAATAAGAACACAATTTTATAAAATATTTGGACATTAACTGTGCCATTAAAAAGCTTCCTTATGAATGTGGTTTCTTTTTAGCGAATTTCCCATATACGGAATAAGCTATTGCTAACATTGTTATTGATTCAATATTTTTTGGAATGTCAATGATTACCAAATAACATTATGGGATCTGGTTGATCAAACATTTTTTTCAAGGAAAAGCATGATGAAATTTGATTTATAAATCTTTTGTCGCAAAGGAAGTGTGAAAAAAGAAGCTACATTCTCAGAAAATCAAAACGAATTATTTGGATTGTTTGCTGTATGGACTGAGTGTAGTTAAGTTTTGAATATCATTAGTTGCAACTGTATTTTCATATTCTAACTAAACTGCAGTTTGTATTCACACCTCCTTGCATACTTTTTTTGCTTATACTGGAAAAAAATTTAATTATTTTCCTTAAGACATTAATTAACACGCCATATAAGTGACAGGTCATGAAGACCTGTGTGGTTTAATTAATAATAAACTTGATTGAGCTTTTTTTCTTATAGCGAATTTCCCTATAGGGAAGTAGCTGTTACCATAGGTGGCACGGTAAGACCTAGGCCCAGGACTGATTTATTTTTTCATTTTGATGTCCCCAGAACCCAAAAACACCATCTATTCAAGATTTTTTCATCTATATCCATATGTATATAACATAGATTTATTATGTGACTGTGAAAACGATAACTGAAATAATCTTTTTATGATTTTGATGAAATTCGGCTTGAAGGTGTAGGGCGGGATAAACTTGAATGCGTTAACGAAACACCATGATCAGACACCGAGAAGTTGGGAAATTTTGTGTTTTCAGGGTCAAAAATGAGAGAAACCAATTCCATAGCTGTGTATCTTGTATACTAGTCTTCTGTTAGAATTTTTAAATAAGCTTTTCTGACTTCGCTATGTTTAATTTCAGAAAAAGTAAAAACTCTTTTTTAACATTCAAGTGGGTTTCTATTTTATTCAAAACTATTTACCATTCAAATACTAATTTTGTTAAAATCTTTTTAGTGGGTTAAAATTGGATTCTCTCATTTTCGACCCTGAAAACACAAAATTTCCTAATTTCTCTCTAGACCATTTTGAAGAGGTTAAAAAACCAATAATTTATAGTGGTATGTTTAAGTTTTTTTTTTACAATTATTAGTTACGGAGAAAATTTCAAAAAATTGGGAATTTAAAATTCCTATGTTAATCTTATGGAGAATATTGAATATTG